AAGCTCATCTTCAATCCTTCAGAGGCACATTCTTTGTTTGATCGGTAGAAGAGCGCTGCAACCAACTCGCAGCGTTTGGCCCTGGCTTCTGCTAGCAGCCGCAATAGTGTGGCTCGAAGACGCATCCCGCAAAAGAAGCACTTTTCAGACTCCTCCCCAAGCAAGCCCCCGACGGCTGCCGAAATAGCTACTGAGAAAGAAGCCGCTCGTCAGCAGGTGCTCCATGAAGCCAACGAAACCATGAAGTCCTATCACCATGCCCGACTGGCCAAATTACGAGGAGAATTGCCATCCAGAAACAAGACGGGTCCATCTACGAATTACGTGCAGATTGGGGTTGTCGTGGCCTTTATGGCAGCCTTTTGCGCCAGTCCTTTTCTCGGGAAGCGCATTGCCCAGGACAAGGAGTTTCGTGAAAAATACGTGCCCAGTTGGTACGATTTCACCATCAAGAAACCAACTTCGGAGCTGTCGCGAGAAGAAGTGCACGATCAGATTCTCCAGTTGCAAAAGGAGATCCGGGCTCGAGCTATTGCGGGAGATTTCAGCGACGAAAAGTTGAGCAAAATGAGACGGTATATGGAAGGATTGGATCCCGAACAAAACAAGGAATTCAATCCAGACAATGATCAGCACGCATGGTCCAAATTGCATCCCGGATTGGATGATGATGAAGACGTGGAAGACGAGTAATAGTTTTAAAAAGCCAGCTCCTGACAATGAGCAGATGTCATTCATAACGCAGCAACAATTTCTGAAGCGTTTTGTGCACTTGCTCCACTTGATACTTACTTCTAGCTAGCTAGCAAGCTTGCAGATGCGGCTATAAGACTAATCAGCCGAAAAACTGCCAGTGATTAGAGAAGAGTCGAGTCGTTTGATGAGATGGAATCGAATCAGGAAACGTCTTATTAGTAGCTGGTTGTAGGTCTGAGTGTGTTTTAAAATGGGAGAAATGGCTAGTCATCCTCAAGGTCGTCTAAATCATCGTCATCTCCTTCCAGAAACAGATCCGTCTCCACTTTGGCAGCCACATTTGCCACATCACCATTGGTTGTTGCGGATTGTTGTTTTTCTTGTTCAGTAGTAGTGTCGTTGTTGGTTGCAGTAGTGTCCTCGTCGTCTGGTTCTGGAATGGATGTATCCACATCTTCTTCTTCGTCTCCAGCCGTGAATAAGGACTTTTTGTACTCGTACAAGGCTCTTCCACTGAGTACCGCCAATCCCTTTCCTCCCTTTTTCTTTTTCATCTCGGCCTCCACCAGTTTCTTGGCAGCTTCTGCCTTGACTTTTCGTTTTCGTTCTTGCCATTCTTTGAAAGTTGCTTCTGTGATGGGTGTACTCTTGCCTGACTTTTTCAATTCCTCAATCTTCGTTTGTCGTTGCATTTCAATTTCATCTTCCAATGTTGGAACATAGTTGGGCTATACCGGTAACGTAACGTAGGAATTACAAGTAGTGGGAATGTATGAATAAGTAAGTAAGGAGATACAAACAAATTGGATTCCTAACCCACCCGAATCCATCATACTCACATCTTCTCGAAGTTTATCATTCATTTCCTGAGCATCCATTTGGACTATACGGTAGAAAGAAAGAAACATAGTGGAATACGTACGTCAGCGACATGCAAATAATAACATGGATTGGCAACAAAACAAACCACAATACAATACTCGAACTACTCTACTCACACATCATCTTCATGGCTCGACTGGTACTCTTCTTGTTTCCCTCGTCGTCAGCATCTCGTCCCTTGGCTTCAACCTTTCCACCCTTTTTGTCCGTTGTCTTTTTCTTGGAAACTGCTAATAGAGCTGCACCAAACAAGGCATCCTGTTCTTCCTTCATGGCTTTCTTTCGGGCCTTGGCGTCTGCCTTGGCTTTGGCGCGAGCCTCATCCTGCTTCCGTTGCCTGGGATCTCCACTGTTCAATACACTTTTCTGGACTGATTGGATGTGTTGTTGGACCTAATAGTATCGTACGAATGGATTTGATAGTATACAATTTTGTTGAGCAATCCATCACGTAGATTTCATCCACTGTATGAATATGCAGTCATTGTCGCACTCACCTTCTTGGACTTGTTCTTGTTCTTCAGTCCGAATGTCTTATCCTCAATGGCTTGATTTTTTTTCTTTTGCACTGACTTTTTGGAAGCGTCATCCCCACCCTTTTTCTTCGCCATGGTTCAGGCTATATATTCAAATATTCCACCAAAATCAATCTCTCTCTGACGGCCAAAAAAAAAAGTTGTGTTGGCTTTTTCCTGACAGTGTAGATTGTCCGTGATTTATCGTTCCTTGCTCTCTGCAGCAATGCTATCTCATTCCACTCCAAAATCACCGACGAGATCGACCTGACTATCAGCGCTCGCGGTGCTCGACAACGGATTGATTGCACGTTTCAATCGAGCTTGGCCTTGGTGCTGATGATCGCTTGGACTACCGGTATCTCTGTCGATGCACTGTCAATTGCGTACGAAGTAGCCCAGGCAAAGTGCCATTGGAGTCTTCGAAAGAAAGCGGTGAAGCTTTTGCATCCATCCTCCATCCATTCACGCTCAAGCATGACTCAGTTATCGCACGGCGCCGCGCGACGATACGAAGGACAAAGTAATCATCCTCACTTTCTAGATAAATAGACACTCACTCTAATAACAAGCTAGTTGTAGGAAGTAGCCATGGCTCTACATTGCTTAGGTTCAAACATCCATAGAACACAGCAATCAGTCCCCGCAAACATTCCCTCGGTAAGTTTTAACTAGCTAATAGCTAGCTAGGTGTCATCTTTGGTCAGGCGCAGCACGATGATGTTCGAGTCCTTCGCGGTCCCAACGAATGATGGATCCCAAGCTGCATCAACAATCCACTCACCATTGACAAAGACAGCTACCAGTGAGGGAGGATCTAGTTCTCCTTCGTGGTTGCCGTAGACAATGGGAACCAAATCTCGCAAGTGAAGTGGAACCTTTTGACCTCGTAAAAAATTCTTGAGTTTCAAAGGTGATCGTCCTTTTCTCCAAGGAGGTGTGAACATCCACTTGACTCCACTACTACAAGCCACTGTTGTCTTGACAAAACGCAAGCTACTGTGGTCTGTGATAGTGAGTGCTGTGTGGAGTCTGATTTCCGAGTCACCACCATCTGGTTGTGTGCCCTGGCTGTCAATGCAGGACCACCGCAAAGGTTCCCCTCGAATCTCTGCCGTGTTTTCTGTTTCGACATCTTCTGACACTAGTTGTGACACAACTTGCAGGGAGTCCCCAAGTCTAGTAACATGCCATCCATCCCCCAGAGGCAGTGTCCATTGTCGATTGTTGGGATAATCTTCAAGCTGTAACTCTACATTTTTCCATACGTCATAGGAGAACTGCTGATTGTTAGCGGAACTGCTGATCCACGAATACATTGCTTGGCGCATTACCAAGTCTGAAAGTAGTTCTTTGTTCTGAGGGAGAAGAAAATGCCCCCTCGCATCAACGTGACGTTTCATTACTTCATCGGCCCTACTGGAGAGGTCAGTCTGTAGATGCTGGCACTGCTCTTCCAGATTTCGTAGTCGTTTCTAATTCAGAATAATTGACATCATAGTGCACCGTTGGCAAGAATGGTGAGAATCTCCAAAAGGATGACATCCAATAATGGCTGCACTGCACTGAACTGCACTAAAAACACAGACAGACGTGAAACCTACCGTCAACACGTCTTGACTGCCCACCAAATCTTCCAGCAGAGGAATGAGCTGATTTCTCACTCGATTGCGGAGGTACTTGTTGGACTGATTGCTGGCATCTTCTCTCCAAACATACCCTTGTGAATGTAGATATCCTTGAATTTGATTCTTTGTAAGCTCCAGTAAGGGACGTCCCAACAGTGTTGTCCCATCTTGCTGTATTTGCTGCAGGGGAGCCATTCCTGACAGATTCTGGATATGGACACCTCGAAGGAGTTTGAGCAATATTGTTTCCTGCGAGTCATCGGCATGGTGTGCTGTGAGAATGACACCGGGTCGTCGTCGTTGTGATGAGCTATCGTCAGCGACGCCATCATCCATCAAAGAAGAAGCAATGGTGGTTGACGTTAATGTTTGGAGCAGCTGTGCCATTGTAGATTGTCGCCATTTTCGAGCGCTGTCTTGGGAAAATGTCTTGTTGTTTTCGGTTCCATCATCATTATCATCATCCCAGGTATAAACGTGACACGGCACCCCACGCTCCTTGCAAGTATCTTGCACAAGTTGACAATCCAGTTGACTTTCGAGGCCTCTTTGGCAGTGATCAAAATGTACGACATGCAACTCAAAGTCTTGATTCAAGTTGTGGAAGCATCTGCGAGCACCCGCCATTCGGTTATTGCTGTCTTGAGGAGGAGTTGGGTTTACTGCTGTTGTGGAAATATCGAGCAAGGCATGTAACAGTGCCATGGAATCGCAACCACCACTGACACCCACCAATAAGATAACGGATTCGTCATTGTCACTGTCAGTGCCGCCTGAAAGCAGTGACACTTGAGGGAGAATGTCCGTGCCAAGAGAAGTTTCCACTGTTTGGAGAAATTGCTGAACTTGTTCTGGTGACATTATGGACTTGGATGATTCGATTATTTGGTCGTGTTGTTGATGATGATCCGAGTAGAGGCGTGTTGATAAAGATCCTCTGTGACTCAACAAACAGGAAGGATTATTATTTGTGCAACCAGCATTATTGAGATGGCTACTGCTGATAATTCTTGGTTTGGTTTGTGTGGTAGTGGCACAACATGACTGACCAACGGCGACGGAAGATTTCCACCGGCACATGGATGTTACCTGAATGGAACTGATAGCTCTCCATCTCTGCATTGACATCAACATCAACAGCATGAATGCAATCCTCATCGGAGTGCAATGGATCGTCTTGAAGTGAACAATGCCATCCAGTGATCGAGTTGTCGGATATCATAGGGGTCGTCAATCGTCGATGTTGTTGGATCCGGTTTACGGGTTGGTCTTCGTCAAAGATCTTTTGAAACTGCTGAAGCATGAAGAACAACTTTACTGTTTTATTTCTGTGAGTCAGTCACACAATTTTGTGGCTTTGACCAAGATCCTCCCGGGTCCCAACGGTCGACCACCATAATACTGTTGCATTCCTTTCTTTGGTTCTGCATTCTATTACACAAAGTCGCGACCATGACATCCAGTACCAGTGACAAGAAGAAGAAAGCAGACTCTTTCGAGTACGAATTTGGAGGTCCCATTGGAGCCTTCTTCACGGTGACCCTTCTTCCCATTGTGGTGCTATTGTTGTCGCATTGGTCCAAGATTGGAGGGCTGGATGCTGGATTCTTGGCGGATTTCAGAACGGAATCATTCTGGGATGCGTGGTTGAAATCTTCCGTGCTGTGTCCCAGTTGCAGTACCAGTGGCGATCGAGCCAACGATTTGCTGCTCTTTCGATGTGCCGGCGGCATACTGTGCTATTTTATCTTTCAAGTCTTGTTGGAACGATGGCTTCCCTGCGAACTCGTCCAAGGCATGCCTGTCAAGGGAAATCCCAATCATCGACTGACCTACCGTATCAATGGACATTTGGCATTCTGGGTCACGTTGCTCGCGTTGGATGTGGGGTGGCCCACTTGGCATGAGTCCAGCCAATCCTATCAATTTGGTAGAGCGCCATTGGCGGTCCTCTATGATTATCACGCCGAATTGGCACTGGTCACCATTCTATTCTGCTTTGCACTCAGTTTCTACCTCTACACAACATCCTTTCAAGGACAACGTATTCTGGCAGATGGAGGAAATTCCGGAAATCCAGTCTACGATTTCTTTCTTGGCCGAGAACTCAATCCTCGCATTGGATCCTTTGATTGGAAAGAATTCTGTGAATTGAGACCGGGATTGATTGGATGGGCCATTCTCAACCTGGCATTCATGGCAAAACAACACGAAAATTTAGGATATGTCACGGGCAGTATGATATTGATCAACATTTTCCAATTCATTTACGTGTGGGACGGAATCTACCAGGAAAAGGCCATACTTTCTACTATGGATATCACCACGGATGGATTCGGGTACATGCTATGCTTTGGGGATTTGGCATGGGTGCCATTTACCTACTCCATTCAAGCACGGTATTTGGTAAACAATGATCCCCATCTCAGCTACGCAGCATTGGCGGCCATTGTCGCCACTCATATCGTGGGATACGCCACCTTTCGAGGTGCCAACAGTCAAAAGGATGCATTTCGAAAGGATCCCAATCATCCCAATGTTGTACATTTGCAATTTATGAAAACAAAACGAGGAACAAAGCTTCTCACCAGTGGGTGGTGGGGAATGGCACGCAAAATTAACTACACGGGTAAGTCAAATCGTTGTAATGGAGGGCAAATAGATTCAAGCTGCATGCTTGGTGTGCCTCTTTGCTTATCATCTGACATTTTCATTCCAACATGTTCTAATTTTGTCATGTCTGTGCTGCATCACATATTAATATTATCATCAGGTGACTATATCATGGGCTTATCCTGGTGCTTGGTTTGTGGCTTTGATAGCATTGTCCCGTACTTTTACGCAATCTACTTTGCCATTCTTCTAGTGCATCGGGCGATAAGGGATGACCATGCCTGCCAAGAGAAGTATGGTGAGGACTGGAAGGAATACAAAAAGAAAGTTCCATACATGTTTATTCCTGGCATAGTGTAACAATCCAAATGGCTAAACTATATTAGGGTAGCTACACTATGGTGCTGTTTGTATATTCGTCTATTGTTTAATATGGAGTGTGCCTTTACAAGCACCTTCCTATCTTTTTGAGTGAGAGTTAGATGCGGTTATACTCAAAATGGTTCCACCGAAGCCACGCAGCGCCTCTGCCAAAGCAACGATGACAAGATCTAGTGATCTAGCAGCAGCCGCAACTAGTGAGCCCCCTCCCAACGAAGGCCATCGTTCAAGTCCTCCTGATCTTTTTCTTTTTCGTCGTCACCATCGTAACCGTCGTCATCATCATCGTATCCGTCCTCCTCCCAATCCTCACCGCCGTGGAGGCCTTCATGAATCAACTCCCCGAATATTCTAAAAGCTACCAGTGACAGCACCAAGGTCAAAAGACGTTTGCCGGGCCGGGCGGAAAGAACACAGCTGGTAACGCCGACTACAACAACAGGTTGTGGCAACGACCCTCGAACAGAAGCCCATTCACATGCGTTGGTTGTCGCGATTATCAATGTCTTGGCACCCGTCTTGATAAAAGGAAGGATGTTTCCAACTCCACCATCATAAGATGGCGGAGACTTTCCAAGAAGGGTTGAAAACAGATTGTTCTCTTCCCAGAAGGGCTTTTCATAAAACTTCTTCCTTCTGCGCCTCTTTGGAGCCCGACCCTGAGCTACTGAGAAGGCATCGTGGCCTCCAGCTTCGTCTTCATCCAACTCCTCTTGCGATGTCCAACGATTGTAGTAAGCGCCCTGATCGTGGATTCCCATCATGGAATCAAATCTTTCTTCCATTCGATCCCTCCAGTTTGCAGATTGCTTTCGGCCAGCTCGAGCCTTGCCACCTTTGCCGGGCTTGGTGGCAGAGGTCGAATTCTCCTCGTTGGAATCCTCGTCGTCCTCCTCATTGCCCCACAAGATTGTGTCGGTGGCGCTTACAAAGAACTCTCCAAATCTGTCAATGGCATCGCGATACACTTGTGAGGATGGATCGTTTTCGTCATACGGCGAATAGACACGACGACTTCCATCATTGGCAGAAGACGTCCGTCTTCTTCGTCGAGTTTTTGAAGCGGAATTGCCTTCTCTGCCTTGTGTCCCAGTTGACTTTGCGGGTGGTAGGCGAAACAAGCTACTAGAAACAGCAGGATTTCTGACGCTAGATGGTTTGTGGTTCTGCTTGGTCGCAGGAGCATCGCTGCCGCCTTGTGGAGTGCGATACTCGTTTCTTTCCCTTCCGCTTCGTGCTGGACGTGTCTGGTAACCACCCGTGTTTGCCGCTGCTCTTGCCCTCGAAGCATAACGTTCCCTCTTGGTATACCGGTTCGAGGTTCTATCCTCCACAGGTTCTGCGGGGACATCAATGATGACATCCTTGCTGGAATCTGGCGTTTTTGTAACATATTCAAATTCAACGTCACGTATTCCATTCTCGTCTTCCGCAAAAAAATCCCTGGCATTCCGTGTAGCTTCTCTTGCTTTTCGAGCAGCTCTTTCAGCTGCATTGGAAACACGCGATGTAGCACCGTCAAATCTCGTGGCTGCATAATCAGGAATCGTCTTCACACTGTCTGCTACTGTTTGTTTGCTCCTGTCATACACCTTGGACCAAAGAGATCGTTGCACACGGTCCCTTGGGTTGCCTGATCTGGCAGCACTGTTCCTCTTGCGGCTAGGACCTGACGGCCGTTGCGAGTTGGCAACTGATTGTCGCGTCCTAGTACGTCTTTCCGACGAAGTTGTTGTTTCACGGCTTCGGTTCGGGACATCAGTGGTAGTGGAAAATTTATCAAAGCTCTTCTTTGTCTCGTCGTCAGTCTCTCTGTGTGCGCTCCTTGACCCTTCTTTGGATGAACCGACATCAACACCAACGTTTCTTTCCTTGTCTGCATTCTTTTCGAAAACGTTGTCAGCATCGTTGGCTGATTGCTCTTTTGGAGCTCTTGCTTCGGGAACGGAATCTGTATTTACTCTGAAATTCTCACGATTTCGTTTTGATGGTGGTGGTCTCGCAGACGCATTATGGTTCTGCTGTGAATTGTGCAAGAGACTTTCCAGCTCTTTCCGTGTGGATGTCGGTGAGAATCGAATTCCACGTCGATTAAGCTCATCCCAAAGTAGTTTCCTTGTATCAACATCTGGCTGCTCTGGTCGGTCTCTCCTCGGAGGATACACGTCCCGTCTTGTTCTCGGGGGCCCACGATCAGGCGTGAATTGTCCCTCACTTTCACGGAGTAGTCGCTCCATCATCTTTGGAGACGCCCCGGGTGGACAGGGAATACCCAATTCATTCAGTTCTCTTCGAAGTCTGGAAATTGCCACGTGTTGTCTCCGACGGCGGCGTTGTGTGGGCGACATTGATGGCCTTGGTCTTTTCGGTCTCTTAGCTGTGGTCTCCATGAATCGTTCAGGATTCTGCTTGGCTCGACGAAGTAGAACCTCCAGTTCATCTCGTGATGCGTATCGTGGTAACCGAATGCCCATTGACGCCAACTCTCGCATCAGAAAAGCCATTTCTGACTCTTCATCTACCAATAATTGATCGTCATGCTCGTCTTGCATTCCCTCCAACAAAAGAAACTCCAAATCTTCGCGACTGGTAGTGGGAGCGTATCGAATGTTTCTCTTGTCGAGTTCTGCCAACAGCTCTCTGGTCGACAGACTGGAATAATCTTTGGATATTCCGTAGTAATCTTCTTCTTCCATCATTCTCAACGGAAACAACTTTCCAAAGCTCACATCTCGAAATCTTTGGAATGAAACCCTGGGGGCTCGCGAAAAACGTCCTGGAAGAACATAAGCATCAGCGACATTGCAGCCTTTCAAGATAGATAACACCACAGCTCCCAACACTGACAGTACATGTACATTTAGAGGTAGCATCATTGTCCTTTCGTTTGTTCCATGGTGGCAGTGAGAAGTGAGAAAAGAGAAAAGAGGATCTCGGAGTGTCAGCATGAGGCAATCCACGTGGAACCGCAAAGAAGAATTTCTGGCCAGAAGAGTGTTCAAAGATTGAAGCATGAAAGACAAAGAAGGAGAACTTCAATTTCGAGGGGCTTCCATACGGTACGTACCGGTACCGGTACGCTTTGGGTAAAGGTACGCACCACCGTACAATCACACTCTTTTAGCTAGACTACCGGTATCGTTACCGTTACCGGTAAGCATACGAGTATTGCAAGACATACCGGGATACGGCGGTAGCTTGTCCTCTATCGGTATGCATATGCATACAAGAATCTGATACAAAATACAATGATAGAACGACCATCTTCTACATTGACCTGATAATACCGGTACCGTATTACCAATATACAACTGTAGTCACATGATAGAGGGTATCAGTCTTAGGGGAGTTGTATCGACTGGTGGGACTTACCTCGTAGTGATAGTAGTGAGTTCGCCCCCACTTAGGCTTAAGTATGGGTATCCTTTATTGGGGTATGGTAATACAATAAGACTTTTGAGGGTATTTCGCCGGGGAAAACCAGTCATTTGAGGGTATCCAATGCTACTGAAAATCGCATTGGTAGTTGCATCGGCAACCCCAAAATACAACTTTTGCCTAAGTATCTTTTTGGCAATCGTGCATAAAATACAACCCAGTCACACAAAATCGAACTCATCGTTCCGCGAAACTCAAAGACTTAACGATCCGGAACCTCTGTCATACTAGTAGCACAAAGTGAGGGTAAACCTCCCAAGATCCGCTCGATCCAACTGCCGTATCCCGTAGTACACAGATTTACATGCCGACTTGGCCGTTGGATTGGAGGCTGGAAGGAGTACCTCCGATCGATATCATTCTTCATTCTTCATAAATTTGGAGATCGCTACTTGATAAGCGAAAGCTCTTGCTATTTTGTTACTGTTACCGAAGCAAGTCGCTCTTTTGTTAACTCGCTCTTTTGTTACTCAACTCGCTGAATTGTCGACCATGGCGAGGAAGCGCAAGTCACTTGATCAGCAGTACCGGCCAGCCCTTGTCAG